AGGAAAGCCATCCTAGGCTCTCTGGTTACGCAGTGAGAATTCTGGAGTTAAATGTCTCAGTATAATGGCCCTTGTTTATGTCCTCTGAAATTCATTTCTAAAATAGCCGTATCTAGAAAACAAAGCCACTCAGATGACCTGAATGCCCTCATGCTTTGAACCTTTTACCTCCATCTCGAACTAGTAGAGGAGTCCAACTTCATGCAATCTTGTTGGGTATCAGAAGCACACTGCCTCACTTGGGAAAGACCATGATAATAACAGCAATGTCAGGAGTTCAGAAAAGTCCAGATGCATGTAAAAACTGTTCAGGGATTCAGGTGATTGCTCATACCTGGAAATATGGTTATGTGGGAAAAGCTCAGAAAGTTATTTAAGTCTCCATCATCTCCATTCTTTACTTATCAAGACAGGTGGGTCTCTACAGTAGTGGCAACAATAGCTACCATTTATTAAGTATTTATATCAGGGATGGTTAAGTATATTATGTCTTGTCTTTTTATAACTGCCTTATGAGATGAGTAATATCATTTATTTTCATTTTAACAATTAGGCAACTGAGGCACAACAGGATGAAATAACTTGCCCAAGATTACCCAAACATAAAGTGGTAAAGCTAATATTTCAACTCAGGCTGGTGATCCAGGACCCAAGTTTTAAGCTTCTGCCTCTATTGCATTCTGAGTTGGGGGAAGTAGATGATCTCAGACGAGATTTTTAGATGGGAGAGGAAGGGTTGATTTCTATAAATATTGGTGGCAACATTCCCCTTGATGCTGAGATTTAGACACCATAATGCCAGGGGCTTTATGAATTAATAGGGTTGACTTTATGTGAGTCAGACCTGTTCTTATCTTCCCTGCATGACTCCAGGCCCCGAGGGGAAGTTTACAGAAGACAAAAAAGCAGAAGACAAGAACACTGACCATCTGACCCACCCCTCCGAGCACAGCAAGGGCCTGGGTTGGCCAACACCAGGTCTCTCCCCAAGCAACCTTCTAACGTTGTTGATGTCCAAATCTCAAAAGCCCCACCCATGCAGCATTGTGGGGAGAAGAGAAGGATGTCATCCTTGCTGTTTAATTCCCTTTTTCATCATCTTATCACAAGTTCCTTGGTAATTTTCCAATTTCAAAGGAAATATTTGGAAGGATATCTGAGGACTGAATGCGTTCATGTTTTACACCAAATGCTTTCAACATGAGAATCCGCCCAGTCGTATCTAATAAAAATATCCTTCCTGAGCTGGTACCAGGAGGTTTCATTAAAATAGCAGTCGATAAGCAGAGCTGATTTGGCACCAAGGAAAAAAATCACAGGCGTATCATGCCTTTGGAATTCAAGAGCACAGCTGAATCAAGGCCCTTTTTAGTTGTCTTAGGACCATATTCTAAGTTTTGCTCTATCAGATACTGAGGCATACACTGTAGGGGAGAATAAATAGCTTTTCTTTCCATCTTGGGTTCATAGCTGAAACCCCTATTACAAAAGACAGATTAACAAGAGAAAAGCATACAAATTTATTTAATGCAAGTTTTATGTGACACAAGAACCTTTGGAAATGAAGACCCAAAGAAAAGGGGAAATCTGTGTATTTCTATGTTAAGTTTGGGGTGGCGTGTCCAAAACCCAATCAGTACTACATCAAACCATACTGAATTGTCAAATTGGGAGAAGTTTCAGAAATCTTCCTCTATCCATCGTGCCAGAGGCAGAGAAACCTGACGTGGATGATTGCTGATGCCCTAGAACTCAGGTGCTCTCCTGCCTATGAGTCAAAGCCTCTATGAGCACTCTGAGAGATTTCTTCCCAGGGTTTCATTCTCCTGAAGACAATTGCCCAATTAACAAAAAAGCCAGACAGGGGCCCAGACAAATGGTTCCTAATATGTTCATTAGTATATTTTCAAAGTTATTGCATATCACCATGGGTCTTCTGTGAGTGCTGGGAACTCCAAATTGAACAGGAATCTCACCTGCAAGAAGCTTACCATCCGACAAGGGAGGTAAAATGTGCACAATGCAAGATGGAAAGTCATCATTGCTAAGAACGAATGAAAAAGAGGAAAGAATTATTCCCAGCTAGGAGGAGCATGGAATGCTTCCTGAAGGAGGCATCTGAGCCAAGTTTTGATTTTAGGCAAGAACTGGGTGTCAAGGATGGGATGGAGCGTTCTCCAAGCATGCTTCAAGGGGTTATTAGCATAAGAAGATAGAAGAGCAGGGGCTGTGTGCAAACAAAGGGAGTACTCAGACATTCAGGCTGCCCAGAGCAAAAGGTGTATGATTAGCTTTAGTGGAAAAAATGGTCAGACTATAGTAATCGGCTTCTGTTTTCTGTACATAAGTTTGCTCATTAATCCAATGCACATACTGAGGTCCTTTCCACCATAGTTAATTTCTACTTCTAACGCCATCATTTTAATACAGCAGAAACCTTGGGGTTTTGATAAAGGTGAGAGGTATGGAGAGGCATGAGTTAAAACTCTGGAAAGCAAAAGCATCCTTATAACCCTCTAATTTTTGTCACTCTGGTCTAATTCGGATGTCTTTGCATATTATGATTCCCCTGCCTGACACACCTTTCTCTACCTTTCTCTGGGGTTCTAGAGACTCAACTCAAATATCACCTCTTCTGTAATGAAGGCTGCCTGCTTCCTGGCCCACCTGGCAGTTCTGAGCTCCAGGTTCCCTCTTCTGCTTCCTCATAACACTCCGCCCATCTCTTCAGCCCTTGTCACAATCTGCTAAATTTATCTGTGTAAGTAACAACAGAACTGGTAAGGACAGGCACCATGTCCTGAGCACTCAGGATGTGCTGGGTTTTCCCTGCACCATCACTTCCTCAGAAGGACTGGAACTCATTATGGACAGGGTCCTTATCCTAGAGTGAAGGGCATTGACCTGGAACCAGACTGCCTGGGTTGGCATCCTGGCTTTGCCAGTTCTTTAGCTGTGTGAACTTGGGGAACTTACCAACCTCTTTGTGCTTTTGTATTTTGCCTCGGAAATATGGGGATAGCAGTAACACTTATATCATGAGTATTCTTGAAATGGCCATGAATCATAAGAGAAAGCAGAGGCCCCCACGGGTTTAGTGGAGGGTGGTACGTAATGTACCTCGTAGGCACCATATACAGAAATGTTTATTTTGTGATGTTTATTTTTAAACTCAGAGTTCTCTATGCTTAGCAACTGTGTTAACCCATTTATGCCTGAGGCTGCAACTTTTTGAATTTTTTCAATGAGACCTTGGTTATGACCTTGAGCAGTAAGATATAAATATAACTCCCTCATGCTTAGCATTCCAGTAATGGAACACTAGGCATAAACGGGTTTTAAGCACATAAGCAAATTTCCCAAGTCCCTCCCAGCTCCAGTATTTCCCAGTCCCAGCTGCCACTCAGTGGCCTTGGGGTCACTTGGAAATGCTGTGTCATCCCAATGCATCAGTGTTCGTCCCAGGGGTAGAACCTCCGAGCCTGGGCAGGGCACCCAGTACACAGATGTTTCAGTTTATGCCTGAGACTTACAGCTACAGAAACACCACCTTTCAAAATTTTATGCCTTTTTTGTTTCCAATACATGAATTAGGTCTCAAAAAAGAAAAAGAAAAAAGAAAAGTAACAGATCTGTTTTGTGCCAGAGCTGTCTGGTCCCTCCAAACACTTAATCCAGCTGCTCTCATTGTCTGGGATCAAAGCACCTTCCCCACACTGTAGCTTTGTTCTACTTGGAGCAGATGAACAGGCTGAAAGAAGAACTCCTTCAGGCTTCCTGCCCCTCCCTTCCCCTGAACTTTGAGAGAACAAAGAGATTTACAAGGCTAGGATCCCAACTACAAGGTGCTAATGATCAGAATCACATGCATCTGAGGTCTGGACAAGCCTTCCTAAGTCAGAAGGCTTCCAGCAGCGGGGGAGGCACTTAAGGGAGGAGAAAGCACTCACAGGCATAAGTAGATCTCACCCACGATGGAAACCCTGTCCTCTGAGAATCAGGCAGGCTCCACTGGGCCCTGTTCCTCCCCTGCCCAGCACTTGAAAGTAGCTATTTAATCTTAGCCTGTGCTGAGAATGACAAAAGAGTTTGCTCTCCCAGAGCACAAACTCTGGGAGACCTGTTTAGCATGAATCAGCATCACCTCGAGGGTTTGTTAAAATATAGCTTGCTAAGCCCCAGTTCTGAGTTTTTGATTCAGTAGGTCTAGGTAGAACTCCAGAATTTGCATTTCTAACAAACTCCCAGATGCTGCTGGTTCAGGGACAATCCTTTGACAACCTCTATTCCAGATTCATATACAATAAACCATTCAGAGCCTATATAGTCTCCAATCTCAGCTTCCAGCTGCCTCTTCCAAGGATCTGGAGATCCCATGAGCAATGAGCAGAGTAAGTAGTCATTGCCAAGTCAGATCTTGGTCCTTTCACACACATCCCGGCATGGTTTGGTCAAGGTGGAAACATGAATGTCCCACTCTAAAACTCTTAATATAAACCACAGAGATGCACTGCATAATACTGTGAAAAGCAGAGTAACCTGTACCATAGCAGAGTGGGTGAGAGAGGAGATTTCTAAGGCAGATTCCCTGGATCCTGCAAGCCCTCTTACTAACTGGGTGACCATGGACAAGATGCTTAAACTGTTAGCCTCTGTCTCCTTACTTGAAAACTGTGGAGCTAAATGAGCTTCCCATCACATGGTTGTTAGAAAGAGTAAACAATATAACCCAAATGTGACCTCATGTCCGGCTCTATGGACAGTGATAATTTTAAAAACCAACTTAAACTACATAACCTGCCTCTAATCTAAACTCTCTGTCTTTTTGTGGGCTCAGCTTCTGCCTGCAACCTGTGGCAGTAGGTAGGATGATTTCAACATCAGTGAGCAAAATAAATTCCTTCTCACCTAACGTCCCAACAGCTGATAGATACCTCACTGAGCAGAGACATGGGCACCGAGATTTCACATATGCATGCCATTACTTACCTCTACCTGTTTCACCTAGCTGTGCCCGGGTTTCTCATATGTACATTTACATTCCAGCCCACACTGCCAAGGCAATGCCTGTTTCATGGAAAATGACCTTTGCTGGAGAAAGGGTCTCATTACATTTGCAGATATGAGCTGAAGTTTATGGAATTCCAGAGTGATTCTTTAAAGACAACCTTCAGGAAGAGGATGCTAGCTCAAGTTGTCAGAACAAATCCCCAAACATTTTGTCTTAGTCCATTTTGTGCTGCTATTACAGAATGCCTAAGATTGGGTAAGGATAAAGAAAAGAAATTTATTTGGCTCACAGTTCTGGAGGCTGAAAAGTCCAAAGGCATGCACCACCATCTACTCAGCATTCAGTGAGGGTCTCCTTGCTACAGTATCCCTCGGCAGAAGGTAGAAGAGTTACAGAGCACGGAGGTACACTCTTGCTAACCTATAGTTAGGGAAGAAAGGGGGCTGAACTCATTCTTTTTTCAGGAACCCACTCCTGACCTTACGGTTCTAATCCATTCATGAGGGCTCTGGTCACCTCTAAAATGTGCTACCTTTTAACACTGCTGCATTGGGGATTAAGTTTTCAACACATGAAATTTCAGAAACACTTTTGAACCATAGAACATTTTCTATTTGAAACAGAAAAAAAATAAAAGCAAAAAACATTATGGTGATTTTTTTTTTTTTCTTTATCTTGTTAACCTTGAAAGTAGATGCATCAGGACTGACTCCCCCAGGACTCTGCTCAGGAAAGTGTTGAAAGGGAAGAACATCAGCTTGAGTTTAGCTATAAGCACTTTCTGTCCATGGGCTAATTTTCTGAAGTTCTCTGTGAGCAAGCTAAGATTTTCTGTGAAATCTCAAAATAATCAAATCAATGACCAGATACTTTCGATGTCACACAGCTGAAGCAACTGTGAGGGGCAAGACAGTTCCCACAGGCTGCCAGCTGGGCTCACAGTCACTACATAATCATGCACATGGTACATGGTACAAAAGGCAGACTGTGGTCCCCAGCAGCTCAGGAAATCGAACAAGAGGTGTCCACGTCAAGACAGAAACTGGAGAGTGTAATAGACGCACTAGACCTTGTGAGCGAAAACCGTACCAAAAAAAAAAAAAAAATAGTACGCAGGTGGTAGAACATGCTCATTCATGCAAATAGTTCTCAAATCACTTTCTCAAGTGCCAGTAAAATAAATTGTATTTTTGAGAATGTACGCAGTCAAGTCAAGCTGTCTACAACCAACCAACGTGACTCTTCCTTGGTGAATCCAACCAAGTGCTGTTTCGGATACTTAACTTTGGGGGTTGGGACAAGGCAGCATTGCCTGCACCTGGAAAGAGAAGCCTTATCTCTGTGGACCAGATTCCCACATTTCAGACTCACGGAGATAGATAAGCAAAGTCCCAATCTATTCATTCCTCTCCCAGAAATTCAGTTGTTACATAAGCCAGTGCTTTCCTCTTCACGGTCTGTCTGTTCTGTCCCTGTTTCATACACACTAGGGAAAAGGCCTCCTGAGGAGTCTCAGATCAGAGCATGGGCCAAGCTGAGGATCCACAGTAGATGAAGGTCAACAAAGAGGCCCAATACACTTGTGGATCAGAGCTCCTGAGTTGTAGTTGCTGCACTAGCGTGGTAGACTGAATAACAATCCCAAAGACATCCACATTCTTATCCCTAGAAGGTATAAACACCTTACATGGCACAGGGTGTTGTGCAGTGGTGAAGACATTAAGGATCTTGAGAAATAGATTATTTCGAATTATTGAAGGGGGCCCTAAATGTAATCATAAGTGTTCTTATAAGAGAAAGGCAAAAAGAGACTGGACTGTGGAGACAGGAGTTGCTGAAATGACTGCAGCAAGATGCTGAAGGGCTAGCCTTGAAGATGGGGAAGGGGCTGGGAGCCCAAGATGGCAAGAAACGCAGCTCTAGAAGCTAGAAAAGGCAGAAGATTCCATTCTCCCTTGGAGCATTCAGAGGGTGTGCAGTCTTGGACCTTGATTTTGGCCCAGTGAAACCAATTTTGGACTTCTGACTTCCAGAAGTGTGAGAAAATATGTGTTGTTTTTAATCGCCACGTTTGGAGTAATTTGTTACAGCAGCCACAGGAAACTAATATAACTGCGCACTACCAAAATTCTGCTTCATTGAACTGCCCTTTTCCCTGTTCCCCATAGGCTCATCCCACATCCTCCTTTTAACACCATCTCTCCCAGAGAGTCACCCACAACTCACTGGTCTTCCATGCCCATTAATCATGCCCATAGGTGATAACCAGCAGGCCCCTTCGACAGGAGTTGAGTGTCAGTGGAGGTGTGTTTGGTTGTCTGTGTGTGCATCCAAGATGTGTCCAAAGACGTCAGTTCTACGTCCCCTTGACTGTGACGTTTAATCACTCAGGGCACAGACTGTGAGATCTTAATGAGCTTTCTGACTACATTCCTATTTTAAACTTCAGGGATTTTTCACTTTTTCTAAAAAAGATGACAATAACTTTACAAGATTTTGGTGAGCATCAAATATATATTTTTTCCACATACCCACAAATGCTTGTCTTTTTCTTAACTTATTTTAAGTTCAGGTTTACTTGTGCAGGTTTGTTACATAGGTAAGCCTGTGTCTTGGGGGTTTGTTGTACAAATTATTTTATCACTCAGATATTAAGTCTAGTACCCGATTATTTCATCACCCAGATATTAAGTCTAATACCTTTACTTGATCCTCTCCCTCCTTCCACCCTCCACCTTTCAATCGGCCCCAGTGTATGTTGTTCCCCTCTATGTGTCCAAGTGTTCTTATCATTTGTAATTTTAGGTGAATTCTTTCTATAAAAAACTAGCAATGGTTAACTATGGAGTCCAGTTTTCTATGTCATATGTAAGAGTGTGACACATGCAAGGGTGACTCTATGACTCAGTACACAATAGCCCTATGCCATGGGGTATTCTTATTATGCCCATTGTGTAGATGAGAAAACTGAGTTCTAGAAAGTTTAGGGAATGTGTGCAAGGTTACACTGCTGATCGAGGTCACACAGACAGTCAAGCTGGCACTGGCGCCTAAGCATTCTGACTCCAGGGGTCTGTCCACTTAAACGCCTCATACCACACCATACTGAATGTATATGAGAATGACTGTAACAGTCATTATAGGTTCTGTGGATCCTGATGTAGTACCAACCATTGCCCCTGCCTGGTGTGCCTTTGCCTGGTCCTGTCATCCGCCAGGCTTCAACGGCTGAGAACTGTGTCTTCCCAGTTCAGGAGACATGAACAGAAGCCATAGCTCGGTGCTGATGCTAATTGCCTCCGAGTCTGTATGTTCCATAATGAGACCACCTAACAAGCCATGGGCTGTGAAAAAGTCCTTGTCCCATTTCCAAAGCTTGTGATTTGAGGGAGATGAGGCTCAGATGGAACTCCAAGGCTGAGCCTGAACCTTGTCAACTGGAACTGAAATTTTTGGTTGAAGTGTGAGGCAGCCTATTACCCACATTCAGGAGCAGTTTAAACACATTCAGTCCCTTTGAGTGAGAAGCTCCCAACATGCCTCCCCACGTTTTATTGTAGTCTTCTGCACTGATCTGTTTCATAAATATTCATTAAGCATCTATGGCTCTTCTGAACACCAAGGCTGGAACAATGAAGCTCCACTCTATGCATGAAAGAAACATGCAGCCAGGTGCAGTGGTTCTCACCTGTAATCCCAACACTTTGGGAGGCCAAGATGGGAAGATCACAAGGTCAGGAGATTGAGACCATCTTGGCCAACATGGTGAAACCCCATCTGTACTAAAAATACAAAAGTTTCCTGGGTGTGGTGGCATGCACCTGTAATCCCAGCTATATGGGAGGCTGAGGCAGGAGAATTGCTTGAACCCAAGAGGTGGAGGTTGCAGTGAGCTGAGAACACACCGCTGCACTCCAGCCTGGTGACAGAGTGAGACTCCATCTCAAAAAAAAAAAAAAAAAAAAGAAACATGCAAAGTGGTGCACAGGCCATCCAGTCATGAAGATCTGGTATTAGGGCCCAGGGAGAAAGTGGTTAAATTGACCCAGAAGAATTGAGGAAAGATTCATAAAGACATTGATGTTTACTGGAATTGTTAAGTCTTGCCAAACATGGAGGGAAGACTTCCCTATCGAAGAGAGGGAGAAGCTTACACATACACAAACTTGAATGGGTTAATGAAAAAAATATCAGTGCGGCTAGAAATCTGGGGATATGGGAGGAGACTGAGTGGAAGATTGCGCTTACAGTTCTAGAGGCAAGAGATGGAACTGCCCTTCCATACCACAGCCTGATTGGGATTAAGATTATATACCAGGCTTACTGCAGTGAAGTCTTACATGGACTGAGCCTTCAACCTTTCTTCCCTCTCTTGCTTCAAACTCTTGAACCTGAGCTCCAAAACGTGTCACTGCAATGCTCCCATGTTAATGAGCGAACAACGTCAAGGCATCTCATTCATATGCAAACGCTCTGACACAGATGCTATATGAAATGAATTCAGATGGAATATGCCAGCATCCTTTTTTTTCTTAATCCTTCCAGAGAGTTATGATGTTGCTACATAAGTTAATGAGAGGAATGGAAGAGCAAACACCGCTCTTGAAACCTATCAACAGTATAACTATTTAGATGGGTATTAAAGCCAGACACTGTCATATAATTTGAGGGTATGGCTGAAGACATCTTAAGAATATTTTGTTACTGACAATTGAATCATAATTTTAACAGACATCTCCAAAAAGAGAAGCAGTGGTAGCAGCCATGTAACATTTATTTAGGAGCTGGTGAAGATCTTTGATTCAAAGTGCTGGCTGAAATGACAGAACCCAGCTCTTGGGATGTCAGACCTGCCAAACAGTTAGAATTTTATTAGAATAGTAAGTGCCCAAGAAATATCAATGCCGTGCTCGATAGATAGGTACTATGCAAAGTGCTTTACGTACATTCTCCATTTAATCCTCACAGCAGCTTTGAGTGGCAACTTTTATTACTCTCCTTTATGGATGAGCAAACTGAGGCACAGAGAGGGCAAGCAATTTGCCCAAGGTCACACAGCTAAGGAGAGAAGGGGTGGAGATTCCAACCTAACAATCTGACTTGACTCTCACCCACTGTCCTCTACGCCCTGTGGGCAATGAATTCTACTGCTCTAGTCTCAAAGGTGAGGAAACAGAGCCTAGTTCAAGAATAAGTTACCTGGCCAAGTCTCCTGCAGACACTTAAGAATAAAAATATTTGGGCCAGGTGTGGTGGCTCACACCTGTAATCCCAGCACTTTGGGAGGCAGAAGTGGATGGATCAAGAGGTCAGGTGTTGGAGACCAGCCTGGCCAATATGGTGAAACCCCGTCTCTACTAAAAATACAAAAATGAGCTGGGTGTGGTAGCACACACCTGTAGTCCCAGCTACTCGGGAGG